GGAGTAGCTTGAACAAGCCACTTCCCTGGTATGTGGCCTAAGCAAGGAGTCCCTCTTGGGTTTGCTGTCAAAATCTATCCTCTTTCCACCAGGCTCTGCTGCTGGAAAGACAGGCAAAAGAGTGGGCAAAAGTGAGCTAACACATTTTTATGAGGTTAAGGAGGATGAGGGAAAGAGAGGGGTTTGCATATGGAAAGCAAAAATGTCTTGTTCCAAAGCAAATGCCCACTGGACTGATAAGAATGCAAAAAGCAATGAGAGGCAGAGAAACTGGAAATGGGCCACATCACCCAGACTGGGCGGTGGTGGTGCTGCCATACCCTGGACAGGTGTCCTGACCATAGCTCCAGGACACACTCAACCTCCTGGACTTCTGGTCCTGGCACCCAGGCTCTCATGGGGTGGGTAGGCATGCATGGAAGGAGCCTGCTGCATGAGCACGCTTGGACACGTGGTGTACCTGGGAAGAGGGTCTACAGAGAGTGGGGGACATAAAAGGGTGTGTTGAGAAACCATTTCGTTTATGTCCAGACCAGGCCACTTTTGAGAGTCACCACACCAGAAGCTGAGACAAGAAGAGTAACCTGGGGCGTGTGTCTCGTCCGCTATCCCCACGTATAAGACACTGGATAGCATGCCCCGCCACACCTCCTGGCCAAATGGGGGATGACAACTGGCCTGGCGCACCTTGATACCATCCATCTCTCTGGCACAGTCTGCTGACCCTGGCAAGGGCCCATAGCTGGAAGGGCTTGAGCACAGCTAACACAAGTGTAACAAGCCACGGCTGAGGGCAGAGTGTGGGGTGTGGTGGGGAGTGCGGAGACAATGGGCCATCTTAGGTAGATAGGGCCATGAGATGTCTCCTGCATGTGCTTTCAACCAATATTCACTGACAGCCTGCTCTGGGCCAGGCCCCGTTCTGGACATGGGGGTGTCTGCAGGACAACAGACACAAATCCCTGCCCCCAGCCCCATGAATGAGTGTTTTCAGCTGAAAAGGGGAAAGCAAGCATACAAGTAAATATGGACCATGCCAGTGGTCAGTGCTATGGAGAAAAGTCAAGCTGATAGGAGGCTGGAGAAGGGAGGGGTGGGGAATAGGAAAGGGATGGAAGGGGATGCATGGGGAAGAGACAGGGAGACAGATGGGGATGGGGAACATGGGGTAAGGTGGGGGTCAAGTGGTTTGCTCTTCAACTTTTAGAACTTTCTGGAGCTCTGCTCTCCATCCATAATCCATATAAGGAAAGAGGAGTGTCCTGCAAGGCCTGGGTAGAGGGAGAGAATTGAGTAGAAGGAGGAAGTGATGTACATGCATGCACATGCACACTGGGAGGACTGAGCTCCCGAGTGGGCTGAGCAGAGAAAATGCTAGGGTCATCAATCTGCTTCCATCTGGCCTACCCCACACGTGAAGTGAGTACCTCTTTCCTCGATGGTCTCCTCCCTGCATCCTGTTCACTTCTGGCTCATTTCTGACTCCAAGTTTTTGCTCATGTCATTGGCATTGCCCAAAACACTCTTGCATTTTTCTACCGCATGTGGTTAATGAGAGAGGAAGAAACAGATGATAGCAAAAAGAAGGAGGAGCATGAAGAAGTAAGGGTAGAAAATAAATATGGAGACACAGAAGGCTAAACACAAAAGCACAAGCTGAGAGAGAGACAAAAAGATGAATAGCAAAATAATAATCGAAGCTAACCTTACTGGGTGCCACAGACCATAAGCGATTTACATGTATTCCTTAAGCCTTACAACACTCCCATTCTACAGATAAGGAAACTGAGGCTGCAAGAACTAAGCTGCTCACCAAAGGTCAAGTTGTAGCTAGGAGGACCAAGCCAGCCACCGCTATGTTATCACTGCGCAAAGTGGGGAAGGAAGGAAGGACAGTTACCCAGATTGTTGGGGCTCTGGAGTTCATTAGCCTGAAGATTTTGAAGCTTAGCCACAAGGTGTTATTAAGGTAGACCATCTCAAAGAGAGCTCTTCTACCTACATGAGAGTGTCTCTTTCAGTCAACTAGATAAACAGATGCAGATGTAAAATGAGTTAAATAAAGGAATTTTTTTTCTGTGTATCAAAGAGTTTTCCTTTCAGAGAGGATCCTGTCAATTCCATAATTTCTTCAACAAATACCTCCTGATTCCCAGTGTGTGCAAGTAATCCCAGAGAATTTAGGATTCAAATGAGCAGTAGCTGCATCTGCATAGTGTTGAAAAGTACACAATTATTGCATGAGATGAAGCATAAATTTAATTGGCTTCCAAAAGTTCTTGTTCCCAGAGCTAACTTTTGTCTTTTCATTTTCCTAGATATGCTTTGTTGAGAAAACAAGGACAGTAGGTAGACACTCAGGCATAGTGCTGGGGAGAGCTTTCTGGAAGAATGGAGTGTAAGTTCTCAACCTGTATAGGGGTGGGAGTTTCTATTTGTTCCTCTTGATGAAGCTCCTGGGGAGAGCCAGGAAAAGGCTTTTTACCTGGGGAAGTAGTCCTCAACCGGGCAGAAAATCTTATTGTGGGGTGAGGCGTTTAGATCTGCTGACAGATTGGAATCTCTCATAGGAGCCCTTAGGCAAGAATGCAGACTGGGCTTAGCGAGGCTTATTTGCTGATAATCGTGAAAATGTGATTATTTGTTCTTTTTAATGAACACTTACTTTATGCCATACATAGTACTCTCAAACCCGAATTACAAATCAAGAGAGTTTCTGAATAAAGCCTATTAGATGTCAGCATAAAGAAAAAATTTGTGGTTTAGGTCTTAATTTTACACTAATTCCAAGCAGATGGCAGGGGGCCTTTGATAAGAGTTTTCTTTGTTTGGTTAATTCAGTGGTGTGTTACTAAAAACCCACTGCTCTATTTATAGCACTGACCAGCTTTTAGAGGATTCCTCTAAAGACCACGCAAAACTCCCACTTAAAATGAGTTGGGGGTGGGGAGAGGGCTGAATGAGGGTGGCAGGGGCGAGGAGTGACAGAGGGAACCACCCCCTCCTGGCCCTGCCACTCATTCTTAAGGACAGTGGCACGAGCAGTACCATTGAAAGCCACAATCAAGGGACACAGAGACTCAAGGGTCTGCTATGTCTCAAAGACGTCTATTTAAAACTCGGAAGAGAAATGCTCTGTCTGGCTTATATATTTTCCTCTAACACCGTGTCTGCTCTCTGCCTTTTCTTCTCTCGATAGCTATGTTAGAAGAGATCACACCAAATAGATACCGACTTTTCAAGCAAACATTGAAAAAGCTGTTGATGGATCCCAGTGATAAATAATTAATACAGATCGTGTTAGCAACAGCACTATTTAAGAAAATTAGTTTTAATTATCTTTTTGTTTCAAATGTCTTTGTTTCCCCTTCAGAGATCTGAGATTAAAAAACTGAAGTCAGTTTTGGAAGTGGCAGTCAACTGAATATGCTTGCGTGTTTTGCACACAAGCTCAGACACAGTATACAGAGGGAGAAGCTATCCCCATGCAAATACATATCTCAGGAAGGGCATAATTCCAATTGCATCTTAAAGCCGGAAGAGTTGGAATTTTCAAGAGGAAGGACGAGAATTTGCAAGTCCAAGAAGATCCCTCCTCCCAATCCATGGTGGTGCATCCACAGGATGCAAAGAATCAGGATTTCCACGCAAAGTCAGAAAAATACTTTCTTAAGGCAAAAAAAATTAATAAGGGTACATACAGAAAACAGAAAAGAGAAAAAGCATAAAGGCTTTCTGTGCTGCCAATCAGACCTGTCCCTCTTCAGCAATGGGAGAAATATCAAGAGCCCTGGCATTGATGAGGATCTATATAATGCAATTCTTCATCCTCATGCTAAATATGGAGGGCTGGATAATTCCATTCCTCGGCTCAATTATAGCATGCAAATGCTCGAGCTGCTCGCTTTCTAAAACCAGCAGCAGGGCAAACAGACCGAACTGACACGAATGTATAGTTAATAGACACATGTTTGTCCTTCATGAAGAACTGGAAAACGACAGAATAAAAGAGGTTTCCCTGGTCACCTCTGACAAAGGGCTTTCTAGTTCCAACAGTTACTCGGGTTACTGGTACTAAAGGAAGGGAGTTTAAAAAAAAAAAGGCAATTCACAATTTGCTGCCCCTGCCTCTTCTTTTCTCCCTGGATCCTTTCATCTCCACTCTCTCCAAATTGTCAGCCCATTTGTTGGGGTAAAACCTCAAACTCCATCTTATCTCGCCTCCACTCAACAGCATCCCTGGCCGGGCAATTTGGCATCAGAATCTCCTCCGGCCCTTCTTGAAATACACGTTAGGTCAAAGGAAATAGGCCATGATTTCTGATGGCAGGCCGTTTTTACAAGTGCTGGTCCGAAATGAAGACAGCAGTGTTTCTAGTTTTTCAACACACATGGCAATCGCCACTAAAGCTCCCTCCGGCTTTCTGCATCTTTTTGCTTGGTCTGGGGAGCAGCCTCAAGGCTGTCGCGGTGCCCCCCTGTACCCGCAGCGCACACAAATCTTCTGGATGGTATCTCCTGTCATCATTTGCTTTCACAGCTGTCTACACATAAACCAAAGGCGTTAGCATCCCTGAAAACAAAGACGAAACACAGACTGTGAAATGGGCAACTGTTATCTGTTGCTCAGAGACAGCAATATTTTTTACAGCTACTCTGCGTGGAAAAGTACTGCTCGACGTTCCCCCAGAAGATCTCTCCCTGCCGGGGACGGGCACGCTCTGCTGTTCGTTCGCTGGACGAGCGATACGAAGAGGAAACAGGCCCAGGGCTCCGGAACTAAGTGAACACACACAGAGGTGTTTCTAGGTGTCAGCAGCAAGCCAACTGCCGTCTGAGGTCTCCAGTTTGACACAAAGCAACAGTGTTACGTGCATGATGCACGTAGCTAGATGTGGAAGCCAAGGAATTTGCTGTCTCATGACTTCACAGTCAAAGACAAGAAGGAAACCGTCACCTGCCCCTTAAGAACAGAAGAAAGAGCGCAGAGGCTTGCTTACCTTAAAGTTGTGGGTCTTCTCGTAGTTGAAGTGGTTGTCGTTGTGCGTGAGGGCGGCCCTTCGGACCAGGGATGAGATCTGTGAACAGGCAAAGAGTTTGAGAGGGGGCCACAGAAAACCACCTCTGACTCCCACCTTCACCCCCAAGGCCACGGCCAGCAGCTCCTGGCGCTTCCGGCCTGGCTTAGGCTTCCGAACCACGGCACACTTTTTCTCATTTTCCAGCCAGCGTTCCTCGGAGAACATAGTGCCCGGACCCCACATCTTTCTAGTGGCCCCTGTGAAGGCTCGGTGCTGTCAGGTTTTGCGAACCGCGGCTAATGTTAGGCTGCAGATCCGAGGCAGCTGCGTCCTGTCTGCGGAGGCCTCCGGCATGTGACCTGGGAGGGCTGGTCTGAGTGATGGAGGGGGCTCTGCCTCTGAATAGGGACGGGCTGTTTTGTGCTATTTCTCCAGGCCGACGTGTGCCTGGAACAATAGCACACATTCATGTGCACAGCAATCCCCACAAGCTGAGGACGCGGTGGAGGTGGCGGGGCAGGCAGCTTTATTCCTCCTGCCACGGGAGAGACCTCTCGTGCGTGCTTGCTTGCACATTTCACACACACACACACACACACACACACACACACACACACACACCAACTAGTTCTGATGTTCAAAGCCTGGGGCTGCATCCAATTATTTTGGGGCTCTGAACCCCATCCTGGGCTGAACTCAAGCGGATTAAACCTTTAGACCCTGATGATTGTTTAATCTCACAGGGATAAAGCCTGCCTCTCTTTAAAAAAAAAAAAAAAAAAAAATCTGCCCTAGCTCTTGAAGCTTAATTTTTATTCTTATGCATGCATTAAATTAGAGCAGTCTGAACACTGAATGGGGCTCAGAAAAAGAGCACAGCATTTTAGCTCTGAGTTTTGTAGGCAGAGTTTCAACATAAGAGGAGGATGTCTTGCTCCAAGACACTCTCCAGTCTCTCTTCTCCCCTCCAACTCTCAACAATCCCCGCACACACATAGACAAGACAATGTTCCTTAACTAAAACCAAAACATCGAAGTTGCCTTTATTTTAAATATGACATCTGCAATGTTCATTCTGTTAGCGGCCAAGCCCGATTCTCCCCATGTTCTTAAAAGCATCATCTGTTTGATGGTCTCCCTTGAGACCAAAGTTTTTGGTCCCAAGTCTCTTCACTGTAGCAGTCTTGGGACTACTCCTGATCTGCTGAAAAGGGTTAATGCAGCTAATGCCAGACAATAAAAGCAATGCTGTTGGAACTAGAAAACGAGGAGGGTGTCGATAGCGGGACCATTATGTGGAGGCACAGTCCACGGGTGCCATCCTGGCTTCTACTGAGACAGGGCCCCACATTCCAGCCCCTGTAAGCAGCTTTGTAAAGAATAATGCAAGGTTGGTGTTTGCCTGTAGAATTTTTTATTCCTGACAATTACCATCATTCCACCTTGGTTCAGAAGTGCATCCTTGCAGATCATCCTTGTTACCTTTGGTGATAATAAGAGCCATTTTTTTTCCTCCCTTTTTTTGAGAGGGGGAGCCAGGAGGGGTCAGAGGGAGAGGGTGAGAGAGTATCTTAAGCAGACACCACACCCTCCACAGAGCCCGATGTGGGGCTGCATCTCATGACCTTGAGACCATGACCTGAGCCGAAACCAAGAATCCGATGCTTAACCGACTGAGCCACCCAGTCTCCCCTAAGAGCCAGTTTTTATACTGAACTGTTAAGCACAATCATTTTATGTTGTGCCAGATGACATTCAGAATATGTTTAATGCATTTACTTTTCAGCTCATGTGTATGAGAAACACATTTACTCCCATTTTTTTGGATGAAGAGATTGAGGCACCGAGAGGTGAGGCAATCTGCCTAAGGACAGCCCATTGGCTTAAGTGGCACAGCCCAGGACTTGAACCCCAAATATCTGCACCCAGCACCCGTGTTCCTCAACACCAAGTAAGCCGAGGTGGTGCCATAGCCTGCTGTTGCGTCCTGCTTTATGTGAAATACTGGCCAGGTCTGCCCCCTCTTCCCATTCTTGCCCCACAGTATCTTCACACATGCATTTTCTGATTGCACTTGTCCCTTTCTATCTTATATTAGAGTGATTTATACCTGTCCCTGCCCTATTGAGAAGTCACTGTGACAGGCTCTATGTCTAATTCACCTCTGTTTTCCCTTCATGAGTATCTAATAAAATTCCTTGCCATAGTAGGCACTGAATAAATTTAAGTTGCCAGAAGTAGCTGTACCTATGGGAAGCGAGCATTGCGGAGGAAACTGTGCAAAGGTGACTTATAGGGTAGGGTCTCCTGCCCATCCTTTGAGCCCCCATCACCATACGTTAGCTTCCAAGGACCAAAACCTCCAAGGATGTGCCTTCCTGATGGGCCCCACCAGACTCCTCCTTCCCATTGCTCAATCATAAAGGACATCTGCCACTCACAGGGGTTGAGTGGAAGCATGGTGTATCTTTGAAAGGCTTGTAATCCTTAGCCTAAAGGCAGAAAGACAGAGAGAAGGAATAGGGTCCCTTCCCAAGCCTTCACTGCTAGCCGGTCCATAGAGACCTTTTGATGGTGAGCCATTCTGTGTAAAATGGACTCTGTGAACTAAACTAGGCTAATTATATGGATGTATGGTTTTAGAATCTAATGACAAAACTCTTTAAACAAAAGTGGGCAAAAAGGGTCTCCTTTTCCTTTTGGTATATGGGTGGTTGAAGACAAGGAAATCTAATGTTTTCTCTTTTGTCTGTGCCTTTACTTGTAACAAGTAATTTTTACTTCTATTTGTGACAGTGGTTTCTTTTTTCAGATATTTGTCCCATAGAATTTATCCAGACACAAGACACATTCAGACACGTGAAGGAACCACACGCTGGTCACTCAAGATGCATCTTGACAAGGAACCAGAAGGGCTGCATTTGAGTGAGCATTACTGTGAGTAGTGGATGACCCCAGATCACCCTCTTACTACAGGAAAAATGATTACAAACATCTCTTGGTAAAATTTCCCTCTTAAAGAACTCCATCACACAGAGTTCTTCTTTACCCAAGTATCTCAAGGACAGCACCTTGGTTTCTTCTATATCCCCCACAATGACTGATGTGTGTTCTCTATACACGGTGGACATTTGATACTTTGTCCTTTCTAACTAAAATTTCTGTCTGACCTATTTTTGTCTACACATTCATTAGAGGAAGCAACTTTCCCTACCTGCTCTGTTTCAATCAGGGATTCTCAACCTTGGAACTACTGACATTTGGGACCAGATGATTCTTTGTCGTGGAGGCTGTCCTGTGCATGGTAGGATATTTAGTGGTGTCCCCTGCCTCTACTCATTGATGCCCCAACTGTAGTAATAAAAAATCTTTCCAGACATTGCCAAGTTTCTCCTCTGGGGCAAAACTGCCCATAGTAGAGAATACCTGGGTTAGATTTTTTTTTTTTAAAGATTTTATTTATTTATTTGACAGAGAGAGAGATAGCGAGAGAGGGAACACAAGCAGGGGGAGTGGGAGAGGGAGAAGCAGGCTTCCTGCTGAGGAGGAAGCCTGATGCGGGGCTCGATCCCAGGACCCTGGGATCATGACCTGAGCCGAAGGCAGACGCTTAACGACTGAGCCACCCAGGTGCCCCTACCTGGGTTAGATTAATAACACAAATCTTTACAGCATGCTTCCTGTGTGCCATGTATTATACTAAGTACTTTACATACATTGACTCATTTACGATTTATAAGGTAGGTACTGTTATAATTATCCCCGCTTTACACATGAGGAAATGGGAACTGAGAGTGTGAGTTGCCCAAGGTCACACAGCTGGTAAGTGGTAGAGCTGAGATTAGAACACAGGTACAACTAACTAGGTCTATGTTTTTTTGTTTTTGTTTTGCTAAGAACAAGTTTATTTTTGATTGTGATTAAATACACATAACACAAAATTTACCATTGGAACCATTTTAAAGTGTAACACTCAGCAATTCAGTGGCATTAGGTACATTCACAATGCTCTGCAATCATTACTACTATCCAGAACATTCCCATCACCCACAATGAGACCCCATACTCAGTAAGCAGTCCCTCCTCATCCCCCTCCCCTTCTGGTCCCTGGCAGCCACTACTCTGCTCTCTCCATGGATTTCCCGGGTCTGAATATTTCATATAAATGGAATCATAAATATCTGGCCTTTTGTGACGGGTTTCTTTCACTTAGGAAAATGTTTTCCAGGTTCATCCGTGCTATAGCATGTCTCACTACTTCACTGATTTTTATTGCTGAATAATAATCCATCGTATGGACATAATCCATTTTGTTGATATACACTTGCACTGTTTTCACCTTTTGGCTATTGTGAGTAGTGCTAACAAGTTTCTGTTTGAACACCTATTTTCAGTTCTTTTGGATATACAGTAAATCTATGCTTTTAATCACCCTGGAAATGGCCTCATTCAAATAATGTCCACATTAAAAAATATCCAGGGGTTAAAGGCCCCAATTACTCTCTTCCCTGCTATTAACCATTAGCAACTCCCAGATTCCCTGGTCTGTTTTTTAAAGAGGAGACTTTTGTTTTCCCTGAGACCTCTTCCAAAGCACGTGCTACTTAAGACACTTTTGGAAGTAGGTGGGGCTATAAATAAATAGTGAAATAAGCTCACCACATCCTTTTTCCTTTTTATAAATAAGGGTTTGGATTCTATTTTTTTATGGCCTCTCACTGTCCTTCTTTCTATGAGGAGGATCCTGAATCCATGAAAGAATCAGGTAACAAGAAGGCCATGGAAGGTTGTCAGATGAAGCCAAGGGGGGCGAGGGTGGGTCAGGGGGCAGACAGATGTGGGAAGACTGAAGCCCACTGGGGGGCTGGTGTGCATGTAAAGTGCCCAGGAGAGAGGGACAGTGGGAGAAAGAGGAATACCCTTCCCTCTGTGCTGACTTTAGTCACCTAGCATCATAAGCCCAGCGGGGACCTCAGAAGTTCATCCAGCCAAGGGCCCCTCTTCACCTGGCTCAGGCAGCCCCACCTCTGGGGACCATGACCTTCTGCCTTATTAGT